AGACCAGCCAGACGAACATCGTGAAACCCTGGCACTACTAAAAATACAAAAATTAGAGCACCGTAGTGGTGGGCACCTGTAATCCCAGCTACTTGGGAGGCTAAGACAGGAGAATCACATGAACCCAGGAGGCAAAATTTGCAGTGAGCCAAGATCATGCCACGGCACTCCAGCCTGGGTGACAGAGCGAGACTCTATCTCAAAATAAATAAATAAATTAAAAGTACATAAAATAAGAAATGCTTTATTGCTAAAAATGCTAACAATTATCTGAGTCTTTAGTGAGTAGAAATCTTTTTGCTGGTGGAGGGTCGTGCCTTGATGTTGATGGATGCTGACTGATCAGAGTGGTGTTTGCCGAAGGATGAGGTAGATGTGGCTATTTTTAAAATAAGACAACAATGGGCTGGGTGTGGTGGCTCACACTTGTAGTCTCAGCACTTTGAGAGGCCGAGGCCGGCAGATCACGAGGTCAAGAGATCGAGACCATCCTGGCCAACATGGCGAAACCCCATCTCTACTAAAAATACAAAAATTAGCTAGGGGTGGTGGTGCATGCCTGTAGTCCCAGCTACTTGGAAGGCTGAGGCAGGAGAGTCACTTGAACCGGGAGGCAGAGGTTGCAGTGAACCAAGATCGGGCCACTGCACTTCAGCCTGGCAACAGAGTGAGACTGTGTCTCAAAAAGAAGACAACGGTGGGGATTGTGGCATCAATTTATTCTTCCTTTTATGAAATTTTTATCTATAGCTTGTAGCAGTGTTAAATAGCATTTTACCCATAGTAAACTTCTTTCAAAATTGGAGTCAATCCTCTCAAATCCTGCTACTGCTTTATCAACTAAGTCCATGCAATATTTGAAATCCTTATTATGTTATTATTTCAACAATGTTCACAGCATCTTCACCAGGAATAGTATGTGCCTCAAGAAGCCATTTTATTTGCTCACTGATAAGAAGCAACTTTTCATCTGTTCATTCCTCATGAGATGGCATCAATTCAGCCACATCTTCAGGCACCACTTCCAGTTCTCTTGCTGTTTCCACCACATCTGCAGTTACTTCTGCCACTGAAGTCTTGAACCCCTCGAAGTCATCCATGAAGGTTGGAGTCAACTTCTTCCAAGCACCTGTTAATGCTGATACTTTGACTCCTTCCGTGAATCACAAATCTTCTCAATGACATCTAGAACGGTAAATCCTTTCCTGGTGGTTTTCAATTCATTTTTCTCTGACATATCAGAAGAATCACTATCTGTGGCAGTGATAGCCTTATGAAATGTATTTCTTAAAGAAAAAGACTTGAAAATCAAAATTACTTCTTGATCCATTGGTTACAGAAATGGAGGCTGTGTTAGTAGGAATGAAAACATTAATATCCTGGTATATCTTCATGGGAGCTCTAGAGTGGATAGAGGCGTTGTCAATGAGCAATAATATTTTGAGAAAAAAACCTTTTTCTGAGCAGTAGTTCTCAACAGTGAGCTTAAAACATTCAGTAAACAATGCTACAAACAAATGTGTTGTCATCCAGACTTTGTTGTTTCATTCATAGAGAATAGGCAGGGTATATTTAGGACAATTCTTAAGGTCTCTAGGACTTTTGAAATGATAAATGATTACTGACTTAGACTTAAAGTCACCAGCTGCAGTAGCCTCTAGCAATAGAGTTAGCTTGTCCTTTGAAGCTTTCAAGCCAGCCATTGACTTTTCCTCTCTAGCTATAAAAGTCCTAGATGTCATCTCTTTCCAGCTCAAAGCTGTTTAATCTACACTAAAAATCTATTGTTTAATGTAGCAACCTTCATCTATCTTAGCTAGATCTTCTGGATAACATTCTCCAGTTTCTAAATCAACACTTGCTGCTTCGTCTTTCATTTGTTTCTTCTTTAGAGAGATGGCTTTTTTCCTTAAACCTCATGAACCAACCTCTGCTAGCTTCCAACTTTTCTTCTGCAACTTCCTCACCTCTCTCACCCATCATAGAAGTGAAGAGTTAGGGCTTTGCTCTGAATTAGGCTTTGGTTTAAGAGCATGTTGTAATCGGTTTGATCTTCCATCTAGACCACTAAACTTTCTCCATACTAGCAATAAGGCTATCTTGCTTTCTTATTTGTGTGTTCACTGGAGCAGCACTTTTAATTTCCTTCTAGAATGTTTCCTTCACATTCACAACTTGGCTTGCTGCTTTATGTAATAAGCCTAGCTCTTGGCTTATCTTAGCTGTTGACATGTCTTCCTCACTAAACTTAATCATTTTTAACTTTTGATTTAAAGTGAGAGAGATGCAACTCTTTCCCTCAACAATTATAGGCCTCTGTGGCATTATTAATTGACCTATTTTTAATATCGTTAGGTCTCAGGGAACATAAGGAGGCTCAAGGAAAGGTTCAGAGATGAGGGAACAGCCAGTTGGTGTAACAGTCAGAACATACACAGTATTTATTGGTAGTTATCAATTAAGTTAACCATCTTATACAGGTATAGTTCATGGTGCCCCAAAACAATTACAACGGTAGCATCAAAGATCACCAATGACATATCACCATAACAGATAATAATAATGAACAGATAATAATAATTCTCATAGTTTTGAAATACTATGAGAATTACCAATATGTGACACAGAGACATGAAATAAGCATATGCTGTTGGGAAAAATGGCACTGATAGACTTGCTTCACAAGGAGTTGTCACAAATCTTCACTTTAAAATATGCAATATCTGCAAAGCACAATAATGCAAAGCTCAATAAAACAAGATATGCCTGTACTCTATACTAATGATAGTGCCTATTTCATTGCACTATTGATAAAAATCAAAATAATTCATGTAAAAGCTTTTGAAAATAGAACTTGGAATATAATGAATAATAAATAAAGTCACGATTAAAACATCAAAAATAATAAAAGGAATATATTAATCCTGCATTGGGAGAAGCCAATGGCTCCATACAAAGAAATTTATCAGGGAATGTTCTATATTTGGGGAAAAGGGATCTTTCTAAGTGCTGATAAAATTTGAGAATAATTGGAAATTAATGACAACTTAAGTTTCTGTTACCTCGTTCCTAACATTAGTCTCGGTACATTTGGTATGCTTATGATTTTTTCCTCTGTTTCTCTTCAAGATAGAAGTGATCCTACTTTAAAGGCTACATAGGTTTAAGTTACATTAATTTTCAGATACAAATCTCAGGTCACATGGGCATCATATAAAATATTGAAGAATGGGGCTGGGCACAGTGGCTCATGCCTGTAATCCCAGCACTTCGGGAGGCTAAGGTGGGCAGATCACCTAAGTTCAGGAGTTCGAGACCAGCCTGGCCAACATGGTGAAACCCCATCCCTACTAAAAATACAAAAATTAGCCAGGCATGGTGGCAGTTACCTGTAATTCCAGCTACTCGGGAGGCTGAGGCTGAATTGCTCGAACCCGGGAGGCAGAGGTTTCAGTGAGCCAAGATCAGGCCTCAGCCCTCCAGACTGGAAAACAAAAGTGAAACTCCAACTAAAAAAAAAAAAAATTACATGTATATATGTATATGTACATGTATATGTATATGCATATGGACTGGATATTCTTCAGTTGCCCCTGGGAATTCTCTCAGTCCCAACCTGTGCTTTGAGAGGCTGAGCTCAAATGAATACATTATCAAGGCAAACAAACTTGGCCCCTGGCTTCTAGTTAATTCAGCCAATGGAAGGCGCTGGTGATCAGAGGTAGGGTATTTATTCAATTGGCTGTCTCCCTGCCATGTGTTTGTGTGGCAAAGAATACACGTTCTCTATTTTAGTCCAGGGCCCTTGTCAGGCAGGTCAAGCAGTTCCAATAAACATTTTCAACTTGATTCTTCAGTTGACCTGACAGCTTCCCCGTGTACATGTCACAACCCCTTTCTGGTTCCCTTAACACTTCCCGAAACTTTGTATACAGTCCTTTAATTAAATTCCCTTAGATTATCCCTTGTGTGTGCCATTTGTTTCCTTCTCAGGGCTTGATTGCTAGGGAGAAGACTGAGGAATCCAGTGAGTTACTGAAACAAAAGCAAACCATGCAATTTTGCATATCGTTGTATGCCGTAAAGACAAGGGATCAAACAATAAATGATGATTAAAGTCTCAAATGTCTGATGCTACCGCCACAAGATGTGGCAGAAATGGTCGGCTGTCAACTAAATAATTCATGCTTTCCTTCTAGAGTGAAGCGATCATCAAAAGCTTGCTGTCCAGGAAAAAATTTTATTTTTCAGGCTCAAACTTTATATCCAATGCGGGCATGCGTTTGGTGGATGTGATTGTGAGACCTGTTACTTATAGGTTATGGCTTTCAAGAAGCAGGTGTAGATTCATCACCTTGTCTTTTCTAGTGAACAGAAGTCAAGGACTGCAATGACTCACAAAATGAAAGAATCCCAAGTCTCATTTGGAGGGAAGCTATCACTAATTGGGATCCCTGGAGCAAAAAAAAAAATTACGTAAGATATAAACTTTTATTGTGTTAAGTTACTGATATTTTTAGGTTTACTTATCGCAGTAACTACCATTGCACTATCAGATACACAGTAAGTAAATTTATTTTAAGGTTGAAATTCCTTCCTAGCTTCGTTGTTTAAGGCCGCCCAGTGATCTGACACTCTTTACACCCTGGTTTGCTCAATGTGAGCTATCTTTAGATCTTCACTATCTAGGTCATCTCTATGCTTCATCTCCTCTACCAAATGCAAGTGCCTTCTTGGCACTATTATCTTTTTCTTCTGAACTCACTGCCAACACCTTCAATATCTGCTACATTTTGGAAACCAGATAAAAAATTTCTGTCATTGGCCAATCTGAATTCAGTTCTCTCTCATTTCCTTTTTCAACAAGTTGTGTTTTGGCTTAAACTTCATAAACTTCTACTTTCTGAATGAAGATGCATCTATTCTACTCCTTAAACACCAACATACTTTCCCACCACTGTGAAAATGTAACCAATTTCACTTCTTTCACCAACCTGCTCCAAACCACCCGAGGTGTTATTTTTGCCAGCCTCCTGTGTGGACTGCTTTCTATCAAAGCACCTCAGACATGCATGAAGAAGAAATATACACCTCTCTTCAGTGGGATAGTCCAGTACCTAACACTTACCAGAAATGTCTGCCTTCCAACAAATGCTCAGGTAACCAGTTCTAACTATTTTGTGTGAGGCTTTAGAGTTCATGTTTCTTTTTTTTTTCTGCTCTATCATGAAGTCAAGATATTTATTCTAATCTGAGATAATCTACTTAAGAGTACCATACTGTGCAGGAACTGTTTAATGAAGTGGAGAAGGAGTAAGTAAAGGTGAAAAAAAGAGCAATGAACTTGATAAATACATGGAACTATTTTTTGCTCTGTCTCTCTAGAAAAGAAAAAGAATACCTAGATTTGGGAAATACATGAAAAAATACAATTTTAGTTAATTGAACTACTATATAAAACACTCTGCAAATTATCTGGTAAATACTGAGAAATAAAAAGAGAAAGCATAGATTGAAAAACTGGCAAGATCTCTTTGGCCTAGAGTTGTCTGCTACAGTGATTAGTTCAGTCGGTATCACTTAATACCTGTATTAGTTCCTGTCTGCTGGTGTAACAATCGCACAGACTTAGGGGATTAATAGAATGCAAATTTATTGTCTTATGCTTCTAGATGTCACAAATTGAAATGGAGTTCAGTGAGCCAAAACCAAGGTGTTGTCAGGGATCTAGGGGAAGAATCCATCCCTTGTCTTTTCTGGTCTCTAGACCTGCATTTATTGTTTTCCTTGGCTCATGGACCCTTCTTCTATCTTGAAAGCCAGCAACATAACCTCTTTAAATGTTTCTCAGCCTACATCATCATGCCATGCTCCGTCTCTCCAATGTCCTGCCTCTCACTTAAAAAGGACCCAGGTAATCCAGTCTAATCTTCTCATCCAAAATCCTTAACTTAATGACATCTTCGAAGTCCCTTTTCCACATAAGATAACTTACAAGTTTGAGGAATTATGACATGGACATGTTAGAAAAGGGCATTTTTCTGCCTATCACAATATCCAAAAACAAATTTTAACCATTTTTCTCTGACTAGCTTTTTGAATACAACAAATCACACATTTTTTTCCCCTCTCTAGAGAGTTGTAAAATTACCTTGGAAAACTTGTTCCTCTTCCAAAAATGTATATTTAAAAGTATATATTTAAAATGTGTATCTTTCTTTGATTCAATCATGTTCAATTGACACTGAAGAGATGGGGAGATGTGAGACAGCATTCTTAATCCCAAAAGATAAAGCCAGCATTTCACTTATGAGACTCTCTAAAAGATTGTTGGAAAATAATACATATAATTACTTGGTAAGGTATGACATCAAAGATAAGGAGAACAGAGGTATACTATTAAATCTACTTAATTTGGCAATTTCCGTATCACATGTATTCAAGTTATGACCTGCCTTTCAATGCATTTGAGCAAAGGTTCTCTTTTTCCTTTCCTTTTTACACATTCCAGGCCCCAAAACTCTCCAGTAGAAATGCCAACGTTCATTCCTTCTTTTACTCAATTTCAATCTGTCCTTGTCCCATCTGTTTTATCTGCTTTCTCTAACTCGGTTTCATTTTTCCTGTTTCATGGTTAGGAACACGGTGTCTTGTGATGGTGATTTCATGTATTTTCTGCGTGGGATTATTAACAACATCCATTTTCCTGGCCATCAAGTGTAAGTACAAAAAGACAGTTTCAAAATAACAGATATTGATATATGTATTATATACTACACATAGCTTATATATAATGATATATGTATATCATTATATATATGATTTACCAGTCATTTATAAATTATGA